TTAAAAATGTCAAAAAAATGTGCCTGAACCTTGTCAATCAGAATAAACAAGGCGTGACGAGTAGGGCTCTCACGAGTACTCGGGTACTCGGGGCCGAGTCGTGTAAAGCAGGACTCGAGTCCAATTGAATGGACTCGAGGACTCGCAGAGGAGATACCTCTAAACATCTCATGCAATCAAGATGGATGATCGTGAGAAAAAATCCAATGTCTGGACGCATTTTTATCTTGATTTAGTGGCCAAAATACGAAATGCCGTCTTTGTGGCGTTTCCCTTAGTTACGCAAGCATTTGTCCTGTAAGCACCCACAATAAGCACTGTAGACAGAAAACCAGCCCAACAAGCAACGCTGTGGCAGTTTGGTAAGTTTGATAGCAAAAGTCGCAAGCCAAATGGTATGAAGGTATTACGCAAAAAGCAATGCTTATGCGCGTTAAGGATAAGCGACCATTAAGTCTTGTTAAAGGGGAGGGTTTCAGGGCTTTCTGTGAACCATTGAACCCAAATTACCAGGTCCCATGTACTGCGACAATTCACAACTACCTCATAAAGTCGTATGAAGTTTGCCAGGAGAACAAAATATCAGTACCCAAAACAGTACCTGCCGTTGCCCTAACTACGGACGCGTGGATAAGCGTAACCACGCACGGCTGTATCACTGTCCCTGCCCACTATACCTATGTTTGAACAACTTGTTTTCTACATAGATATTCAATCGTTCTTATCCAGCGTATTTCAGTGTTACATATTCAACAATCAACACATACATACGCATTCAAAATAACATTCACACTTAGAGACCTATATCTTTAATAGTGAAACTTTTAATCACAATGAATACCATTGACGTGATCTCCGTTCAGCAGAGTTTCGGGAGAAGAAATACAGCGTAGTGTTACTCAATAAATGGTTAGTCTTTAGTTTGAAACCAAACCGTTTTCACTATAAGAAGTCTCAAATAAACATCAATCCTGTTTAACATATTCTTTAAGTTCCATAGTCGATCCATCTTTACAAGATACTAGTATCTTATGCAGCACCAATCAATGAATGCTTTAACTATGTATCTTCCAGCTTTGGAACGTGTTTTGCCGCATTTTAACCGTGATTAAGGTTAATTGATTATGTGACTTATCGTCCAGGTGAATGTTTAAAAGTTGCTAATATGTCATAACTGCAACGACATATTAATATTAGATAATCTTGAAAGCGCAGTCAAACTTAAAACCAAAAGAAAAGAGACGTAGATTGATTGGTTTCTTTTCCCAGACACATCCAATCATATTACAGCATTTACAGGCGTAATAAGGTATCACGTCTAACATCCATACTTACGAAATTATTCAATTTGTCCCTTAGCCTGTCAATGTTTCCCAGTCCATGGAAAGAAGCATCGGTAATACCTATTCACAAGAAAGATAGCGTACATGACTGTTCTAACTACCGCCCTGTCGCACTCACATCTTGTTTATCGAAAGTCTTTGAGAAATGTGTATTTAAATATGTATTCAATTTCCTAAGAGATAACGACTTAATGACAAATTTACAATCAGGATTCATGCCAGGAGACTCCACAACAAATCAATTAACCTTTTTGTACAACTTTATAGCCAAAGCTCTTGACGAAGGAAAAGAGGTTAGAGCAGTCTTCTGCGACATAAGTAAAGCCTTTGATAAGGTCTGGCATAGAGGAATTATTTATAAACTGAAAACCTATGGTATCCAAGGCGAACTATTACAATGGTTTGAAAGTTATTTAGAAAATAGAGTACAACGGGTCGCAATTAACGGCTCTAAATCTGACAAGAAAACTGTACTAGCTGGAGTACCTCAGGGCTCTGTCCTTGGACCACTTCTTTTTCTTATATACATTAACGATATTGTATGTGATGTTGACAGTAACATTCGTCTCTTTGCGGATGACACTTCATTATATGTTATCATAGACGATCCATCAGTTGCTGCTACCTGTCTTAACAAAGATCTAGATAGAATTTCACAATGGGCCCGTAAGTGGCAGGTTACATTTCATCCAAATAAAACCGAAACTACTCAGTTCTCCCGTAAAACGAAACCGTTTCTAAAACCGAACCTTTTCATGGACGGAACAATCATAAAAGAATTCAAAAGTCATAAACATTTAGGATTATCACTCCAAAGCGATTGTACGTGGAATGATCACACTAATGATATTGTACGTAAAGTTCGACCTATGATCAGTTGTTTGAGGAGTTTTAAATACCGATTATCACGTAAAACGTTGGATATTATGTATAAATCCTATATCTTGCCAATATTTGACTATTGTTCACATATTTGGGATAACTGTACTTCTGAGCAATCGCGTACATTAGAAAATTTACATCTTGATGCTCTGAGAACTATATGTGGTGCCGTTCGCGGCACATGTCATAACAAACTCCATAATGAAACCAAATCTCAGTCCATGCAAGATAGAAGGAATTGCCAGAAGTTAACTTTTTTCTATAAGATGTACAACAACCAACTGCCAAAATATCTTTGTGACCTGATCCCAAACTCCGTCTCGGGAACTACAAAATACAGCTTGAGGAATAACTCTGAAATACAAAGAATTTACAGTCGCACTGCCTCTTATGCTAAATCCTTTTTACCTGCCACAATAAATTTATGGAATGCCCTACCAAATTCCAAAGCGTCATGTAATCTCACATAATTTAAAAACCTAATTACAAAAACTGGAAATAAGATTTACTTTGACCTTAATTATGGCACTCGTTTTTGCCAAATCGTTCACTGCCGCCTCAGGCTCGGATGTAGCGACCTAAACGCCGATAAGTATAACAGACATTTAATAGACAGCCCTTGTTGTTCTTGTGGACATCAGAGTGAAAACGCCCTACACAATTTCCTCACTTGCCGAAACTATACTCGGATAAGACTTAATATGTATTTTTACACTACCGGTTATAACCTGGATACCATTCTTAAGGGAAACAAAGAACTTACTACCTGTGTAAACCAGAAAATAGTTGAATCCGTCCACGATTATATAACCAAGACACAACGCTTTAAATTTTCTCAGGAAAATAATTAAATTTACTCAACAACCTTCTCATGATTGATTTATAGTTCTACAATGGTTTGTGAGACACACACAACTGTAACTCTCTAACTTATGACTACTTAGAGAATAGTTGTATTTCATGTAATCTGTATATATTTATACATTCTAAAGATATTATATTTATGCAATGGTCAGTATCGATGACGTCAAATCCTCCATTTTCATATTGTATTATATGTTGCATGGGAGCGGTGTTAATATAATCAGTAATGCTTGTTCACCAATCCCAATTCATCTTCATGAATAGAAATATGTTTAAATCAATAAGGTATCACCGGCCCAGCTCATGAATATTAATCACATAATTGATCGCGTAGAACTGGTCACAGTGACACTTACGTTGCCTTCACATTCTGTTTGCAGATGAAAAGGTAATAGATACTTCCATTGACATTGAATATCAATTGCTTTATTCAGGAACGTTTGGATTCACATATACATGTTGCATTATTCGTAGATTGGAAGTTGGAACAGCTACGTGTATGCTTGAATGTTGGTTTCAGATAAGCATCCAAATTGTCGGGTACTCGGGTCCGAGTCGGGTCTGACACCTCGAGTACTCGAGTCCCAAATTTTGGACTCGTGAGAGCCCTAGTGACGAGGCTGTAACGTATGTAGAATCTGTCAGTGGTCTTGAATAACACGCGGCCTGCCTTTAGAATCCCCCACCAAATATGTGCAGTGAAATCAAACATATTTGTATCTTTTTGCTTCAGAACATTGTTCACTTCACGGCTGTCCCTATTCTTAACCATGACGTTGCAATATTGTTGTACAAATGTGTTACACCGACTCGCTCGGTTGTGTTCCCATGACGACAGTGGTCAGACGGGCCTGACATTTGTAAGGCTTCAGTGCAGTGTTTGTTTACATCACAGAAATATACAAATTCATTTCATGGGGGACTTTAGGGGACGCTCACGGTGAAATGCTCGCTCTTATTTTTCACATAGAATAGGAAAGCCACCATTTTGGTTTATCTACGATTGATTTTAGCTATCCTAAGTTGGTCATGAGCAACTTAGACTTTGAATCTTAACTTTACGATTGACTTAGGTAAGATTGGTTAGTGGAACGGTATGCCGATCGCAACGTCACGCTAAGATTGGGATTTTAGGGGTTTACGATTGGCATAGGGCTAAGATCGGTTAGTGGAACGGCACCCTGGAGTCCGTTGTACAAAGCGATCTTAGCGCTAAGGTGACCGTAACTCCCATACCTTAACATAGACTTAGTGTTAGCGCTAAGGTGACCGTAGCTCCCATACCTTAACATAGACTTAGTGTTAGCGCTAAGGTGACCGTAACTCCCATACCTTAACATAGACTTAGTGTTAGCGCTAAGGTGACCGTAACTCCCATACCTTAACATAGACTTAGTGTTAGCGCTAAGGTGACCGTAACTCCCATACCTTAACATAGACTTAGTGTTAGCGCTAAGGTGACCGTAACTCCCATACCTTAACATAGACTTAGTGTTAGCGCTAAGGTGACCGTAACTCCCATACCTTAACATAGACTTAAGGTAGTGTTAGCGCTAAGGTTGTTTTGTACAACGGCACCCAGGACTTGCTTACCCTTTTCGTGAATACCTTGTGCCATCGCTGAATTTAGTGGTCCATTCATATAAATATATTTCTAAGATGCTTCCTAAAGATAAAAGGCGCCAGCAGTACAAGGCAAGCGTTCTTGTACTCTAACTATGATAGTTCTGGGCAAACTTGTACTTTATTACACTTTACATCGGGGTAGAGAGAACTGCATTTCTTAAGTAAATTCGGCTTTGGCGGATAACGGTGATTAGTTTTATCTCGCGTTGTCGTTTTATCTTAACGCCACCTTTAAAGGTCTACTACAACTAAAGTACCGTTACTGTGATTTTCCGTGTTTTATAGCTGATCTCAGACAATGTCCTCCACCATCTTCTTCCTGCTCCTCGCGGGTCTCGCGATGTCTGTCATGGCGGACTACACCGGGAAGGTGCTGCTCGTCTCTATGGACGGCTTCCGGTACGACTACCTGGACATAGTGGACACCCCCAACTTTGACGACTTCGCCAGGCACGGCGTTAAGCTACCCTACATGAACAACAGTTTCTTGACGAAGACGTTTCCCAACCATTACACAATGGTGACGGGTGAGTACATGAGAAAAGACAGGGTAGCGTATACTCAACCCAATAAAACATTTCACACTTATTAAACTGAATCCCGCAATGGACGTACGTGTAGTGTGTGCAGGTTTATGAAATTAGATAACATACTGCTATCATCCAGGTAGCAATACAGACAATGAAAAGTGGATTAGAACACTGTCGGAACACTGTAAGCGGAAGTCCCATGTTCTTGCAACGTCCTGAGTTCATTCAGCTGCTGTCGCAAATGTGTTAGATCGGGTTCAAGTCTGGAGGGAGTTCATTACATCAACGATCGGAATCGTGAAGATCCGGGTTAGAATTGATCTTCGGCAAGCAATGCTTGTCGCGAAAGGCGACTAACGGGATCGGGTGGTCAGGCTCCCTGGCTTAGTTGACACATGTCATCTTATCCCACTTGTGTAGATCGATGTTCTTGATCACAGGATTGTCTGGTCCAGACTCGATTATTTACAGACTGTCGCCATATAGCTGGAATATTGCTGAGTGTGGCGTTAAACAACAAACCAACCAGCCAATCAACGACCGCGTTATGTTAGAAGTTGCGCGCCATACTGTCGTATGGGGCGTATCAATGCCATGTTGAAATGTCAGCCCCGGACAGTTTACCTGCATGAATTGCGAAATGAGTCCAAACTTGGCCCAGATACTGTATGGCAGTAGGACACTCTCTAAATCATTACGCTGCTCTCCCCATATCGGTCAACTTCACGATCACAGCGCTCTACGTGACATTCCTCCCTATGACGGGCAAAGGGCAATATGAAGTGTGTCTCTGGTAGAATCTGGCATGTCGTCGGACCCATTGTAAACGATGAAATGGCATCAGTAATGGCCCTGTGGATAGTCGGATACTGCGATGCGCAGTCCGTTACGAACACTGCCCCTGAACAGCTGTTGGTAATTGGGGTTGCAGTTTGCGCCTGAACAGCTGCGCGTTGGTAATTGGGGTTGCAGTTTGCGCGAGCGAGACTGGGCCCAATGTCGCTAACTTGCGACACGAGACTGGTCCTGAGACTGTGTATTGTTGCGATAGTTTGCGACGCCTGCGAGACTGGGATGGGGTGCAGTTTGCTGCAACGGATTAGCTGCAGTTTGCGCGCTAACTTGCGATATGCGAGACTGGGCAAGTTGCTGAGTTACAAATCAGTTGCAGCGACGTAACCTGATTTGTGGTTTTTATTAAACTTACAATTTTGATGCTGTTTTTCGGCCTTTAGCAATTTTTCGCTTGTTTCGCGACAGTTCAATCAATTTTGATTGTCCGATTAGCAATTTTCGCTTGTGAGTTCAACGTGACGATCGCTGCGTGACATGATTTTTATGTTTTTCAAGCTTTATAACCACCGTCGGTCGTTAAGGCCACTAGCGTCGCATCAATGGCGTGTGTGTGACACGACAAGAAACTTAAAAGAACTACCACCTGACAATTATTTCCAATTTACATCCTTGTAGGTACTTCAACGAGTTGCAATAATACTGGATGCACAGTCTGATGTATTGGAGTCATATTATATATTTATAATAAAACTTCACACATTGTTTCACACAGGTCTTCACGAGGAGAGTCATGGCATCATAGAGAACCACATGTACGACCCTGTATTCAATTCCAGCTTCTCCATGAGGACTCACGAACCTCGCTGGTGGAATGGGGGAGAACCGTTGTGGGTCACTGCCAAAAATCAGGTACTCAGTTAAAACGTTTTTTTTTTCCTTTAATTTTACCTTAACCAAGAAGCAAGGCTCATCCCATACTTAAACATAATGAGCGAGTATGGTTTTACGCCGCTTTTAGCAATATTCCAGTAATACCACGGCGGGGGGCCACCAGAAATGGGCTTCACACATTGTACTTATGTGGGGAATCGAACCCGGGTTTTCGGTGTGATGAGCGAACGCTTTAACGACTAGGCCACCCCACCGCTCCACACAAACATAGACTTACGACAGTCGGGACCGCCGCTGTGTTCTAGAGGATAGAGGGCCTGCCTGGCAGCGGAAGGTCTGCGGTTCGATCCAGATGGGCCCTAACAATAGAAACTAAAAGATGTTACCACCTCCATATATGAGTGAGTAGGTTTTTACGCCGCTTTTGCTTTACAATAGCGTTGGTTGTTTGGTTGGTTCATCTGATGTTCAGGGCCGCACTCAGCAATATTCCAGCTACATGACGGCGGTCTGTAAATAATCGAGTCTGGACAAAACAAGCCAGTGATCAACAGCATGAGCATCGATATGCGCAAATGGGATGCGATAATATGTGTCAACCAAGTCAGCAACTCTGACCACCCGATCCCGTTAGCCGCATCTGACGGCAAGCATGAGTTGCTGAAGATCAGTTCTAACCAAGATCTTCATTAGTATTTTATGTTGTAATAGCATAGAACGTCGCATATCTTACATGTGCAAACCATTCCTTAAAGTAACAACCCCGTGTGCAATAAGGAAGACTAAATGGCCCGGTAGAATTCGATTCACATGGTATACATAAAACAATGATACAAGCATTCTTTGTTATATTGAAATGTTAAATCAGTTATGATAGATTATGGTAAGAAGAGTTTTTATCTTATAGGGAGGGTTTGTAACATTGTCTTATATGTTCTCATGTTATGCCGCAATAGACCAAGTGCTCAATGTAGTCAGGGAGCCTGCTTTACAATGGCGATAACGTGGCCAGCAGATTGTTCAGTGAACTTGTAAAATGATTGCAGTATTTAGGGACCGTTAATAATTTATGGCTAGGGGGGTGATGATGATTTTTATGGAGAAGCATGTAAAATGTGAATGACCCCACTAAAATGTATGTACAAAATAAGTGAAACCCCCACCCCACCCCACCCCTGCATGCCATGTACAAAATCAATGACCCCAACCCCACCCATGATTACTAAGCATAATTTTAAACATATTTGATGTACAAAATTGATGACCCCCCTAGCTCCCCAGAACAAAATGGAACCACATACACTTTCATTTCCAGGGTCTGAAGACCGGCACCTACTACTGGCCAGGCAGCGAGGTTGAGATTCGACATGTTCGCCCTGATCACTGGCGTCCCTACAGCGATGACACTCCGTACAAGGAGCGAGTGGATACAGTCATTGACTGGTTGAAGAACAAAGGAGTCAGTATGGCCACCCTGTATTATCCGGAACCCGACCATACTGGACACGTGAGTGGTCCAGATTCCCAAGCGATCAAAGACAAGGTCAAGTACATGGATAGTATCCTTGGTTACCTCGTGCAGAAAATGAAGGATAATGGCCTTGAGGACGAGGTCAATGTCATTGTTACCAGCGACCATGGCATGACTTCAATCAGTAATCAAAGGGTGAGTCCAACAATATAGCTGATTCTGGATACCCGTACTGTACACAATGTATCACAAAGGAGAGTAATAATGTTTCCCTTTAATGAAAGGTGCTTAAGACTAAACTGGAATCCCCAATTCTGGTGTCCCCCGTCATGATATTGCTGGAATAATGTAAAGCGGCGTAAAACTAAACTCACTCACTCACTTCACTGGAATGAAGGAGTGAATGGGTTGTTCAACGAAAGTGTGAGCAGGTTGTTCAGTGCATGGGTGGCTGAATGAATGGTTCATTAGTTGAGTGAGTGAGTGAATTGATGGATGGTTGTTTGAGTGAATTGTTGAATGGGCATTTGGGTGGTTGAATGAGTGAGTGACTTGGATTTCAGTGCCGGATAAGATGTACAGATACTGTCAGCAAGCTTTCACTTCACTAGTAAAATGTAAAAACTTCGATATCACAAATATCACATGCACATATATTGTCATCACCAAATATGGACGCAGATTTCAGTATTGACTGGATGAATGGTTGAGTCAACGGTTAAGAGAATGAGTTCGTTTTGGTGGTTGAATGGTTGGAAGAGCGGCTCAGTGAGTGGCTGGTTGAATGGCTGAGTGACTGGGTGGTTGAGTGAGTGGTTGAATGGTTGAGTGAGTTGGTTGATGGGTACGTTGCCGGTTGAGTGAATATATGAGTGACTGGGTGGTTGATGGGTACGTTGCCGGTTGAGTGAATATATGAGTGACTGGGTGGTTGAGTGAGTGGTTGAATGGTTGAGTGAGTTGGTTGATGGGTACGATGCCGGTTGAGTGAATCATGGGTTGTGAATCGTTGATGGATTAGGTTGATGGGCATTTAGCTAATTGAGTGGTTAAGTGAAAGGAGGGTTGAATGGTTGAGCACGTGAGTGAATTGGTGGCAGACATGATGGGTTGTTAAGTAAACAGTTTAGTGAGTGAGCAGTTAAGTCAGCGATTTGGGGTGGTTGACTGAATTGTTAAGAAAGTTGTTCAGTGAGTGTTTGAATGGTTGAATAAGTCGTTCAGTGAGTGGTTGAATGGTTGAGCGCTGTTTTTGAGTATGGTTTCATGTCACAGTTGGGGACGATGGGACAGCATAGTGGATACTATGCCGGAGACCAGTGTTCGATTCGCCACATGGGTACAATGTGCAAAGCCCATTTCTCGTGTCTCTCGCCGTGATATTGCTGGAATAATGCTAAAACGGCGCAAAACTAAACTCACTCACTCACTCTTGTCCCATTTGGGAATATTCACACATTTTCAATTTTTCCCCATCCTGCCAAAAAAAGCTACAAGTCTGCAGGGCAAATGGTCTGATTCCAGTGCCAGTGATGTTTAATCATTGTCTAATCTCATTTCAGTCCCTTGACCTCCAGGACTATTTGAACAAGGCTGACGTTGTCCGCATACCGAGCGTTGGCCCCGTTGCTCACGTTCAACCAGTAGAAGGACGAGAGGACGCCGTCTTTGAAGCTCTTAGAAATGTGTCCCACATTACAGCGTACAGGAAGAAGGACATCCCGGACCACTTTCACTATAAGAACAACCGAAGGATCATGCCAATTGTCCTTATAGCAGATGAGGGGTGGATGATCTATGACGTAAGGTGATAGGGTGTACGGACTAGATGATTGTGTTGTCAGAGATGGTGTTGAAATTACATAGTTGAGTGTTATTATGTACCACTAGGGAGTATAATAATACCACTGCTGCTGTTGTTGCTGTTGCTGATTGCTGTTGATTGCTGGACCAGACAATCCAGTGATCAACAGCATGAAGATCGATCTACGCAACTGAGACATGATAACATGTGTCAACCGTGTCAACGAGCCTGACCACCCGATCCCGTTAGTCCCCTCCTACGACAAGCTTGGGTTACTGAAGACCAATTCTAACCCGGATCTTCAGGGGCCAGTCTTTAGTACCCCATGCTTGTCGTAAGAGGAAACTAACGGCGCTCACTGATTTGGCGTTTGTTTGTCATCCTCAATGCTCATGATGTCAATCACTAGATTGTCTGGTCCTGAATCGATTATTTACAGAATATTGCTGAGTACCGCGTACAACGAGCTGTACTGTGAGTTAGATGTGAGTCTGCTTTCAGCAATAAATCTGCAATGGCACGGCGACGAAATGGGTGGGCATAAAATTGTACTCATGTGGGAATCGAACTAGTCTTTTTATCATTACCAGAGAATGTATTATTAACATGGCTATCCTAATGTCCCTAATAGGGATAGAAGACCGAGAAGATATATTTTGCTAATGTCTAACAGGGTTAATGAACAACCTCTACTCGTCTTAACGTTATTTCGTAACTACAAGTAGTTGTCTCCAGTATTTTTCACTGTCGTTTCCTTAGATTACGGGCATTTAGAGTGAGTGAGTGAGTTTAGTTTTACGCCGCACTCAGCAATATTCCAACTATATGGCGGCGGTCTGTAAATAATCGAGTCTGGACCAGACAATCCAGTGATCAACAGCATGAGCATCGATCTGCGCAATTGGGAACCGATGACATGTGTCAACCAAGTCAGCGAGCCTGACCACCGATCCCGTTAGTCGCCTCTTACGACAAGCATAGTCGCCTTTTGTGGCAAGCATGGGTTGCTGAAGACCTATTCTACCCTGGATCTTCACGGGTCTACGGGCATTTACTATCCATTTAGAAGCATTTAGAAGCACGAAAATTCTAATGAGAAGTATAACTGGTGAGGCTCCCAAAGAATCTTCGTAGGTTTGGTTTGGTTGTTGTTTAACGCCGCACCCAATAAATAAACGGGTCTCGACCAGACAATCTAGTGATCAACATCATGAGCATCGTTCGACGCAACTGGGATATTTAGAGTGGTAAGGCTTACCTACATTACGGTCGCCTGAAAGACATACAATCGTTGTGTTCCGAGGCTGAAGGCTGGGGACAGCCAACTGTTGGTGTCCCTGTGTCCAGTGGAATAAGGTTCCCCACAAATGATAGCCTCTGTGGTAACACAGGGTTTTGAACACACACTAAACATATGGAAGAAAAAGGACATATCTTGTTTCAAACTGATCAGGAATAGTTATTAGGAAGTGTAATGAACGTTACAAACGGGTAAATAAGTAAATTATCATTATTATTATTATTTTTTAAAATATGTAAATGACACTGTAGATTGTTTTACATTCTTCCTCAATCCTGAACAAGTTATGGACATGGTATAGATAACTGCCTAAAACATCGGGGATGACGACTGGAGGTTTTAATTATATCTCGCTCGCAAAGATCCGTAAAGATCCGGGTTAGAATATTGATCTTCAGTAACCCATGCTTGTTGTAATAGGCGACTAACGGGATCGGGTGGTCAGATTCGATGACTGGGTTGACACATGTCATCGTAACCCAATTGCGCAGACCGATGCTCATGCTGTTGATCACTGGATTGTCTGACCCAGACTCGATTATTTACAGACCGCCGCCATATAGCTGGAATATTGCTGAGTGCGGCGTAAACCTAAACTCACTCACTGACTCGTACTCGTGAGAATTGATCTTCAGCAAACCATGATTGTTGGATGGGGCGGCTAACGGGATCGGGTGGTCGATAGCAGTCCCAGTTGCGTAGATCGATCCTCATGGTGTCAATCACTGGCTTGTATGGTCGAGACACGATTATTTACAGACCGCTGTCATATAGCTGGAATATTGCTGGTTGCGGCATAAAACAACAAACTTACAAACACTACGATATATATTTCCTTCCACCAAATGTAATATATATATTTCTATGGATACTCAAGACTTGGTATTCTTTTGCACTAGCGTTTTACACCAAATATAAGTCAAGCTGAAGATAGTATCAATGTTAATGTGTTGTTGTTTTCTTTCATTAACAGACAGTAAACAAGAAAAGTGAACTTAACGGCACACATGGCTACGACAACAGACTGATGACCATGAAGCCTATTTTCCTGGCAAAAGGACCCAACTTCAAGACCAACTTCACATCCGATCCGATCCGGAATGTCGACATCTACCCTCTTGTTTGTAAACTGCTCAAAATAAATCCAGCGCCGAACAACGGAAGTCTGGCCCGTGTCAATGCCTTCATCCTAGAAACGCCTCCAGTTGCCGGGTCTCCAATCAATGCACCAGTACTGCTTTTTGAATGTTTGCTTGTATTCACAGTCGTGGCCAACTACATATTGTAGACATGACACTTTCTTGGAACAATTTCACCAAGATTCGATCAGATTTAATTGGAATCTACGACATTAAACGATAATGTATTCCAAATTGTAAAGTGGATTTCAGAGGATTAAAACATGTATGTATATTTAGGGACCGTTCAGTGCAAAATAAGTGATCCCCCCTGCACGTCATGTACAAAATCAATGACCCCCCTCCCGTTCCCATAATTTCTAAGCATAATTTTTAACATAGATTTATGTACAAAATTGCTGCCCATCCTAATACGTGTGTATACAAAATTGATGCCCCCCCTAGCTACCCAGAACAAAATGGGTGGGAACACACACACACACACACACACACACACACCCCCCTAAAATCATCATCACCCCCCCCTAGCCATAAATTATGAACGGTCCCTTACCGGGTCAAATTTTTCACTCTTGAATATCCGAACTACCAACTTTATACTACCGAACTTCCTGTGCCCGGGCTGTGACGTCACTTCCGCTGGCCCCATAGTTTATAACTTAGACAGTCGACATGACTCACCGCTTTGTTCCAGTACGTCAGTTTGTAAAACTAAGATGGAAATGTAGTGTGTTTGTTTCAATATGTTACGTTGTAATGTGTTGTATGTGATTCCCGTGTAGCCGGAAATCGATGAAAATGTTAGTGATGTATTTGATTCGGATGTCACGGTCGATATACAGACCAGTTATATTCGGACACTTGAGGTAACTTCCATACACTTACATGTTAATTTAGTGTAGCATGAATAGTTTTCATGAATTCAATTTTCGTATGATCCAAGTCAAATTTTCACATTTGTGAGGAATCATCTTACCTACAATCCCGTAATTTCTGTTTAACTTCCCCTTTGCTTATTTATCGAATGGCAACAATTTAATAAACATATGTACAGTGCCGTGAACTCCTTTAACATGGCGGCCTATGGGGTTGTGCATTGTGGAGCTATACGTAAGTTTGTAAATGTGATGTCATTAGTTAAATAGTGGTCGGAAAATTGAATTGAAACTGTGTGCGCAGAGCAGAGATGATTTCAAATCTGCCTGTCAAATTTTACAAAGATCTATCCTAAACTCACTTCATGAAAATTATTTATGCTACACTGAAATAACATGTAAGTCTATGGATATGACGTCAAGTGTCCGAATATATATGGCACGAGTCGGTAGGATGCACCATGTCTATGAGTGTCTGACACGAGATATATTGTCTTCAGATTGGTGTGTTACGTACAAGGTAGCGAAACATGATATGTTTTAGACAACTCGAATGTTCAAGTGTATACCTTCCTTTACCGTGGGTATATATATATACTTCACCCTGAAGATAAAAGTGAAACATGTTGGAGAAGATCCGTGTCGTGTGATTATTTCAGAATCTTCTTATATATATATATATATATATATATATATATATATATATATATATATATATAGGCACTACAAGAGTCGAAAGCTATATGAACCATGAGAGGTAGTGTCCGAGAACAGGTGCTCTGACGTCATCAACGCCATTCATGTGGTCACTGGCCTTCCTTGTACTCACGTAATGATTTCTTTATTGAATCTTATCTAATTGTCTAGTGGATTAATTTATTTGATTGACGTAGAAATCTCTCCGGGTACATTCAAACTCCTTACTCAGACATCTCTATCCAAGACTGTTGTGTGGACAGGATAATCAATTTAGCATGACCAATGATATCCACTCATTTGGAGTAGGAAGGATTCCTAGAAGTCAGGATACCGCAAGTACCGCAATACTTTGTTCATGATGCAGTATAGGGTTCACAATACATTATTTTAGTGTCAATGTGCGTTCATTTTCTATGCAATATATGTAGTCTACAGCTGCTCTACTGTATACAATTATTTTATGTGAACAGCACCAATATACGATCAGACTGATTAAAATAACTGAAGAATACATGCAAGTCGGCAAGTAACATTACATCACTGGTAACCTAGCAAAAAATCGGCCTGAAATTTGACCATGCTCAATGCTGAATTCAATGACGTTTTCAAATCACTTTGTGTTATGACAAGTCGGCAAGTAACATTACATTCAGTTTAAATCAAAGTTTCATTCCGTCAGGACGGTTGATCAGTATGACCTGCTACGTTAATTAGTCTCTAAATAAATGTATTGTGTACTGTCTGGCTGAGATTATTATCGCGGTGCAGCGCGTGTTGTTGA